TACAGACAACTACAATGAAACATAGTATTGACAACATACTATATTGGGGGGAAGCACATAGAAGGATGCGTATTATGGCACATAGTGGAGAGGCACCTAATTCTGCCCTTTGGGGGAAGGCAGATAAAGAAATTTCACAGAGGCATTAATACTTGAGCTAAGTCTTAAAGAATGAGTCTGAGCCCACCTAGTAGATGCAAGAGGTATGGAAGGCAGGTATGCAGTCTCAAATGTGATGGACAGTGCTCAGTGATACCTGAATACAGGCCACGTGAGAAGGAGTGGAAGGGAATGTAAAATAGAATAGTAGGGGAAGTGCAACTGTTGAAGCACCTTACCTGCTACAATTAGGAATGGGGAGCCATTGATGTAATTAAGCAAAGAAAAAGTGTGATCAGAATTTTGAAATAGAAAATGTGGAATATGAATTGGAGAGGAGCAAGGCTAGTGGCAGAGAGGTCAGTTTGAAATCTCTTGCTATAGTCCAGATAAGAAATGATGAGGGTGGCAGTTTGAAATGGAGAGGCAGGAATGGATGCCAAAGGTATTTGGGAGGTAGAAGATACAGGGCTGGGTGACTGACTGGATAGGGATGGGATGGGGAGAGGGAGGGATCCAGTGGTGTCTGGCTGAGGGTCTCAGATCTCAGAAATAGAGAGGAGGAGGAGTTTAGAGGTAGAAGATACGAGGTTCGTGTTTGGACATGTTGAATTTGAACTAAGTCTGGGATAGCTAGATGAGATGCAGTAGCCAGCTGTTAATGTTTTGGGGTAAAGTAGGCGTCTGAATGTTAGGTGTAACTACTTTGAAAAGTAGAAGAGGGCACTGACTAGTAAAGTGGGAGAGACTTGTCAGGTGACACCGAGAGCTCCATCAAGATTAAAAATCTGCATCTATTTTCTGTGGTTCTCATCTGTACAGTGGTGGGATTTATCAAGGCATGATATATTAAATATCAATGAGAAGGATGAACATAGGTGCACTAGGGGAGCCATTGATTTGCTTGAGTGGGCATCAGGAAAGGCTTCCCAAAGCTGTGCTTTGGGGGAGGAATGGGGTTTTTCTCTATGGGAAGAAGGAGTCAGGTGCTGTTTCAGGCTGATGGAACACAATAAGCAAATAAATATGTGCAGCTTTGAATATGTGACCTCTTTGGGAAACAAAAGGTAATTAGATTATAGGAAGTGTATATGGGGTCTGGAAAGGGGGTGGGGAGGAGAATTGGTGGACTGCAGTCAGATCACGGATTGCCTGGATGGCCTTGTCAATGGATTGGGTTTTATTCTTTACACATGGGGAAATTTGGAGAGAACAGAAGGATACAATCAAAATAACTTTGACATGGTATATAGAATGTATGTAAGATAGTGGAGAAAGAGAGAAACATTTCCAATTTGAGTCATAGGGTCAATTAAAGTGTTCCTTGCCTAATTTTCTTATTCAAAGGGAGCAGAGTGTTCTGGGGGAGGTGGGATATAGATGTAGAAGAGAGATGTCCTCATTCCAGGAATTGTCTTTCTCATCTCACCCAACTTCCTGGAGCTGCACTGTTTTGGAGGATTCCTAGTCCTGAATTCATTCTTCTGTCAGGACAAGTGACCTATTGAATCATAGCTTGAAAATTAGGAACTTGTGAATTAGAGTCTTGGATTCTCCCTTCTACTTGTGATATCAGTGGATCTTTAAAAGGGAGGGAAAAGAAAGTGAAAGGGAGCTGATGGACCCAGGCAGATGGACTTTCCTTAGAGAAGGAAGCCTGTGGCCCTGTCCATATGTGGCCTAGAAGGCAGTGTAGTCTCTGACAGATAGGAAAGGAGTAACCTCTGGGCCTTATTCTTACCCTGTTGTGGCTTGCGTGGGTCCTTCTGGAAGTGTCAGTTTCCTTTGGAGTATTGTTCCGGATATGGTAAATAATCAGGCTTGGGATTGCAGTTGTGGTTTTATTATCCAGATCACTGTGACTTCTGTTAGGGCAGCAGCTATTTGATTCCCCTGGACCTGTAGCCGTTCAGCATCCTGGTCCTGGCCCCAACTCCAGGCCTTATCCTGGCCTAACTTAATTTAGGGTCTGGGAAAACAGGCCTGGGCTCGCTGGGCAAATGCATGGCCAAGCCTGCATTGTAAATTGGAAAGGGCTCAGCCACGAGGCCTTTGGGGTTTGAGGACTTATACAGATCCAGAGTAAGCTCATATGGCTTCTGAGGAAGATACTCTGTGTTCAGCCCACTTGGATAACCTGTTGGAGTGGTTCTTGGTAACAAAGCTGGTCTTATTGGACCATCTTTTCCAAAGTGGCCTGACCCTGGATGCAGGCCACTTTGGAAAAGGGAAAAGGATGACTGGAATCCCCAGGTAGAATTTGGGGTGTTCCAAACTGAAAAGCAGGGCCAAGGAATACAGGCCATAAGGATTTCTGGGAGTCAGTCAGCTGGGCCCTGTGAACTGCCCAGAGGACCTCTCTCCCTCTCCTCTGTGTCCATTGGGGTTTAACTGGCATTTTCTTTGGGTTCCCTGCTATAGGACTGAATCTACTAACCTTTCTGCCCTTTTTTTTCTGCTCTTTCTCTCCTTGCAGAAGGAAAGCGAGGAGCCCTTCAGGTTGTGCCTCTGGCCTTTGGGCCCTTTTTATTGTTTATCCTCCACCTCCCCTGAGCACTGTGTATGTGTGCCCGTGTACATGTGTGCACATGATCTGTGCCTCTGAGCACTGGCTCACGCAGGGTCTATTTTTCTGGAAAGCAGTTTGTGTGCATGCTCCGTGCTTGCGTGTGCTCCCACAGACATCCCTGGAGCACAGTGTGAGAATGTATGTGTGCCAGCACGGGTGCACATTCATTGTAGCATGTGTGTGCTTACACTTATACTCAGTCTGACTCCTCCAGGCACCGATTGCCCTCCTCTTCTACTCTGCTCAATGTGTGTCCATTTTCTACTGTTGCTGCAAATTCTGGCATATGCTATAAACCCTGGCTGAGCCCAGCATGCATGCATACTTTGTATTTGAGAGCAGGACAGGCATCTTGCGCCTCTTACCTGGGGCCCTAAGTGTGAATATGCTTTGTGCTGTGAGCAGGCTTCCTGACCTTTCTCTGAGCACAAGCTTCTATAGACCTGTTGTGTGGTTCCTCCAAGCCATGTGAATGCATAGTATACTAATGCTCTGTGCCTGTAAGCTCTGTCTCTTGAAGACTGAGGATTTGCTTTGCCTGTTATTTGGGCCCTAGAGAACACCATGAATCCTCCCCAAATGAGTTCGTGTGCATATTCTGAAGCCATTCTGAAGCACAAGATCCATGCTCACCTTGTGTTTCCTGCAGGCACAAGTTGTATCTATAAATACACCTCCTGTAGGTACTTTGTCTAGACCTCTTCCCACTCTCGTGCTCTCCTTCAGTGCAGTGTGTGTACATGTTCTGTGCTGTGTGTGCAGGCTTCTGCAGACATGTTGTCCCATCTGAGCACAGGAAATGTGTATGATCTGAGCCTGGCTCCCAAAGACTTTTTGTGACTTTGTTTCCTTAAGCCACTGATTTCTGGCAAATATCTAATTCTGAGTAATAAATAAGAATCTGCTCAATATAGTGGCCATTTCCAAAAGGAGCATAAGTTGGTAGGATCTGGGGATTTAGGGATGGGCTCCCCTAACACCTACCCTGGCCCACGATCTTAGGAGACTTGCAGTTTTTCCATTATTTCCCACCCACTATTGTTTCTTGTACAGTTCCCGTTGTCTTTTGCCTCAGCCACTCTGGCTGCCTTTTGGGCCTGGCCCTCCCATTACCAATATTATCCTACCCATGGAACAAGGATAGGAGGCAGACGACATAGAATGGGGGCTGTGGGCAGTAGGCAGATAGGCTTGTTTAAAATATGGACAACCTGAGAAGGGTCTTCAATCCAAAGTTCATCTGTGCCTACTGCAGATTGAAGGTTATTCTTGCTCATTTTTCCATCACTTGTTAGCCCTGTCCTATCTCTCCCTATTCTACTTTGTCTAGCCTCATTCTATCCATAACTTCTCCCACCTTTGTAGCCCTCCCAAAACATCATTCCCTGTTCAAAGCAGCTTTCTTCTGCCTCCCTTCTGGAGCCCATTTGCTCCAGGATAGTTAGGAGGCAGGGAAATTGTTGGGGATGGAGGAGGACAAGGAGGGAAGCCCCAGACCTGTTAGCACTAGGTTTCTTGTGCCTGAAAACCATGTACCATTGGGTTCTCTGGAGATCCCTGGCAGCTTTGGAACTCTTTCTTCTCTGCACGCTGCTTAAAGAATTGGCTTTTTTTTATTGTTTGTTTGTTTTGGTTTGGTTTTTGTTTAAAAAGTATTTTTTGAACTGTTCCTTCCCTGAATTATTTGGCATCTAAATTTTTAACTTCTCATTCTAGGGCCTGTAAAATTCACCAGAATCATAATCCAAGTGTCTAATCTGCCCTGGGTTCTCTTGTTATATACAGCTTATTAAATGTAGAGAGCAGATTCAGTATCAGTGTAATCATACATGTGTACCCAGTGTCAGTGCGTCAGGGGTTCCAGGCACCCAAGCTAAATCAAACCACAAGATAAGATGGGAATCCAGAAAGACCAGGTCTGACTCTGGGGCAGCCAAGAAAGTTTAGTAATATAGCTGTAAAAAGACTGGACCGTATATGAAGTTGTCCTTTTGCCTAGAAGCCTAAGTGGGTCCTTCTCCTGGGCTTGGTTCACTGCTACCTGTACCAATGGCTCATATAAGGGAGATGTGAGTTCTTCTATTCCAGTGGACCTTAGCCCTGGGACCTCAGTGAGCTTGGCCTTATATCCTTTCTATTCACTAGGGAGATAAGTACTGTTCATTTCAGCAGCCTGCTTGTTGCCCTGGCTGACTAGGGCATTGGCTTAGACATCAGGCTGGCTATGTCACCTGCACTGTTCTGGGCTTCCTACTCTACTGCCCACTTCCCAGCGTATAGGCAGTCTCCCATCTTTCCCAGGATCTAACCTTTTTTCTATCTCTTTTTAAAGATTGCACATGATGGTGACCCCTCTCTGCCTCAGTGGCTCCCAGAAGGGTAAGTGATTCCCTGCAAAGTTTCTATGGATTTTATATGTTCTCTCTCTCCCTGCTTTTAGCTTTTCCCCTGGGAAGCAGGGGAGACAGCTTCATAACCTCGATCTTGGGGAAGGAAGAGGTTCCACTGTAGGCTGGTTGGTTCTCAGGGGCAGAGGAACAAACTGTGCTGATTGATTCCTCAGGGCTTGTAGAAGAGGGAGTTTTGCAGAGTAGTTCCCCTGAGGCAGGGTAGGGAGCTTTGGGGCTCCCCTATCCTTGCCTCTGTAATTTCTGATTCATTGCATCATAGTGGTGATACATTCTTTAGATAGATATTTTTCAAATTTCCTCATTCCTCTATGTTTGGAAACATTTTCTTTCCATTCCATTGTCGATGGTGTAGCTGATTCGATTACTCCCTGGGCTCAGTCCTGCTTTAGCTGTTGTGAGTCACCTACTTATTCCATTCCACTCTAGTTAAGACATAGTAGCATCCTTTCCGAACTCTGTGTGTTCCCTCTGTGCTGCTTGTATGTCAGTTTTAGACTCATGTGATTGCACCGGAGAGTCATTTTAAGCTGCTCAACTGCTGCCTGTAACTGACTGTTCTTAGGAGAAAACAGAGTTTAAGTGCCTCCTGACACCCTACTCCCCCACACATTGCCAGTTAGGACCTTGGGACCTTCCTTCTCCCTTTCCCTACAAAGGCTTCTGGTGCCAACATTCTCAGTAGCTGCCTCCTCTCACTCTGGCCAGGGAAGAAGAAGGATCAGATAGATTATCGACTACATTTTTACATTTTGCATTTCCTTGTGATTTGTCTTCTTTTAATCAAGAGTCAATCATGAGAATGAGTTACCCCAGTTTTTATCAAAAGATCATTTATGTTGCAAAAAATTTCTTGGGTTAAGTGGTACATATTATAGTTTTTAGAATTAGCTATAAACTTTTGGCGCAAGTTGCTTCTTCAGTGAGCTGTAGTTTTTTCTTCTAATGATTGTAAAATACATACATGCCAATGGAACATATCCAGACTATTTTTAAATGGAGCCATGCGGAGGTTTTCTAAAGAATTCCCTGTTGTCTTCCTTCCTTTCTTTCAGCTTGGTCCTTGGAAGCTGTCATAAATTTAGAACTTCCTTAGGCTTGGTAATCTCATTAAAAACAAAGCTGACTGCCTATGCTCAGGGAGCTGGTTTATTAGAAATCAGCCTATTACAGAGGCAAGAGACATGTGAAGACAGAGGCAGAGACGGGAATGATGTAGCTGCAAGCTAAGGAATGTCAAGGGTTGCCAGCAACTGCCAGAAGCTAGGAGAGAGGCAAGGAAGGATTCTCTCCTAGAGCCTTCAGAGACAACATGGCCCTGCTGACATCGTGATTTCAGATTTTTAGCCTTCAGAACTGTGAGAAAATAAATTCCTCTTTAAAAAGAAAAAAGAAAGAAAGAAATTAGCATATGTTCCAACTCCTGTCCTTGACCCAGTTTGTGGCTTCATTCTTTGCCTGTGTAGCTGGAAGTACCTGCTACTTCATTTGGGACATTTCTCTCTTTAGATCAGCTGTGGTATACAACCCAGCTATCCTACCTTCCCCACCTCATTACTCTCATTAAAACCAAGTACATGAGTTGTTTTCATTAAGACCAGAAAGATTTTGTAGCGCATCCACCTCATTTTATAGAAGTAACACCAAGGCCCAAAGAGAGGAAGGAATTTTGGCAGAGGACATATGGTGACTTAGTAGAAGAATTGGAGCTAAAATCCAGGTTATCTCAACATAAGACATATGTTCTTTTGGGGACATCCTTTGTTTTTATTTCATTTTATTATGAAAGAACAGGCAAAGAATACCAAAATTAATAAATGTGGAAAAGGAATAAAAGTTCTAGACAGCTCCAGTTGTTCTAGCTTTATTTTTTTCCTGGTCTCTGTTGATTTGTCCATAGGGCTAGGTTGGACTCTCAGTGACTTTGCTGTTTCCTTCCTAAATGGTGTAGGGTTTTTTCTTCCCCTAAATGCTCTTTTGGAAGTCCTTCATTCCACCTCCCCTGCCTCCATTTGATTATGAGAGCTCCTCTCTCCCTGGAGATGCTTTTTCTTTGGAAGGCTTGGGTAGCCAGAACTGGTGACTCATTCTTGGATAGAGAAGGTTTCCCTTTACATGCCTCACCAGGGCTGTAGGCTCTTCCTGTAGAGCCAATCCTGTGGGCTCTGTGCTGGCACAGCCCAGTCAACACTTACCTGTGGAGCAGTGTCTCTGGCCTGAGTGTGGGAAGGAGCCCTCTTAACCACCGATTCCCACCTTGCCTTACAGAGTACAAGCACCTTCGAATAAACAGAGGTGCCTTCAGCTGTCACTGTGGGATAAAAGAGCTCTCATCCCTTGGCTAAAACCACAGCAGACACTGAGGGGTACTCTGAGAGCAGATTCCACTGTGCACCATCCCATGGCTTTTTTTCCCTCACTTCTGTCTTCCTTGCCCCTCTCAAAGGCACGTAGTGGAGGTCAGTTCATCTTCCTGTGAGGAGAGGGAAAACAAGGAGAATGGAACACTGGACCTGCCAGTAATTCAAAGCAGGACTGAAGTTCCTGACATATTTTCTTTTCTCCTTAGGCCAGCTGGAGGGCTCTATGGCATTGACAGCATGCCAGATCTACGCAGAAAGAAGCCGCTGCCACTTGTCAGTGATCTGGTGAGTGACGACTCCTGTGCAGGCTTAGGCAGTAGCCTTGGGATATCCCCCATTGGGCCTTGGCAAGCTGTCAGGATTGGAAGGGGTCCATTTAGTGACTCATATTGGTCTGATGATCAATCATTTAAAGCCTTATTGAGACTTAGTGATGGGTTCAGTGGGACTTTGTTCTCTCTCACTCCCTAGTTAGAGCCCTGAGTTCTTCATTAGCTCAAGCTCCTACCTAGAACATTTGTGACCTGGGCCCTCAAAGCAGGACTTGTGTCTTCCTCTAGGTATCTAGCTCCTGTAGATATCTCTACAGCCTCCTCTTATGACCTACAATGGAAACTGCCCCTAGTCTTTGACCTAGATCATTGAGCTTAGTGTGGTATAAACATGACTGGAATTCAGCCCCTTCTTAGAAGTCAAGTGAAAGTCTCCTCCCAAGACATAGGCTTTCTAGACTATCTCTGTAACCTAGTGTCTGGCATTGAGAGGCAATGATAAAAATTTGGGGAATTGAATTGGAACAGGTTTAGGAGTTAAAACTGGTTTCAGGACCTCCAAGATGACCAGAAGCTCCCATTCTGGGTCATACTTTCTGAGGCAGGATCAGCTCAAGGAATTTTCTGTAGCCTTTTGGGTAGTGGGGGTAGAGTGGGTCCAGGCTCTCTTGGAGTCCCAGAGCTCTAAAACCAGGTATAATGTGTAAGAGTTTAGTAAGACTTGAACCATTTTTATTACCATTTTCTCCTCCTGTTTTCTTCTTTTTTCCGCCCTGTCTAGTGTTTTTCCTATCCACTCCTCTCCCCTCTTCTCCATTCTCTGTTCTCTTTTTCCCCCACTAGTTCTCCCTCAGTTGGATGAATAGAAGTATCATTTGCCATTTTCTGTTCATTGTTTCTTTCCTGCCTTTATTTCCAACCATTGTGCATCTTCTTTCTCTTTTTCCTCCTTTCCAATGTACCTCTTCTTCCACCAGCTCTTCATCTAGCTGGTTGAAGATAAATTCTGATGTCATCTCTTCTTTAATATCTTCTTTCCTCCCTTTATTGTCTCCCATCTCCTCTTTCTTCTCTTTCTACCTTTTTCTCATCCCCTCTCCCTTCTTGCCAACCAGAAAGTATCTAGTTCATTTCCTGCTTTCCCTCCTCTGTCTGTTGCTCTTGCCTATCTTTTACTTTACGACATCATGTCCCTTACAGCAGAAGCTCTAGACCCTGAGCCCTGGACAACTGTCTGGGTTGAAAACAGTTTTTGTTGGGTAGAGGCAGAGAGGGTTGGGATATGTTCCCTACTTTGGACTACAGGGAAGAACCTCTCAGTTGCCTCTGAAAGTTTACATGCCCTCAGGGGGCTTTAACATCATGTTGTTCCTTTCTCTGCTCTCCTCTGCGCAGGCTATGGTGAGTGTCTCCAGAGCCCTTTGCCATCCTCTCTAAAAGTCCATTTCCCAAATCACTTGGGCCCTTCCTGGCTGTCCCCCCTGCTTAAGTTGATATTATGACTTCTGTCTGCCCAATGTCCTCTGCCATAGGGAAACCATATGCTTCTCTAGGGGCTGCCCGTAAAGCTTGGGCTTAGCAATTAGGTCCCTCTACACAAGAGCCTGGCTAGCGGGGCAGCCCCAGCTCTCAGACTTAACTCCCTGCCCTGCTTGATTGGCCTGTGGCTACATGGCCCCTTTTACTTGCTAAGTGCACTGTTTGTTCCGGCTACTGGCCTCTATAGCCATCCAGGGATTCAGTGGGTATAGGGTGGGGAGGTACAACGGTATAGAGGTTAGCATGGAATCATTGTTTTCAGTAATGATTCTTGAATGTGACTCTACAGTTGTGTATCTCTTACTCTTAATGATCTATATCCTACTATAATTCTAAGCTTTTCATTTTCCTTTGCCTTCCTATAAATGAGGAGTTCTCTGGAGTAGGACACCTAAGAATAGTAAGAGAATGAGAAATTCCTTGGATGATAGCTATCCTGAAGGAAGTCCTGTTCTAACATTGCTAGAACAGTCCCCCGAGGGCATTGGGTTTTGCATTTTAACTTGGGACACTGTTGCCCAGAAAAGCCCCTGTGAGTGATAGTAAAAATAGAGAGAAAAGCACTATAGTAAGCTATAATCAAATAGCTTTGGTCTCTGAAACTCCCTCCCCAGGACTTTGCCAGCCCTTGGTGGTAGCCAGGGCTAACCATAGGTCTTCTCTCACAGTCACTGGTCCAGTCCCGGAAGGCAGGGATTACTTCTGCAATGGCTACACGCACCTCTCTCAAGGATGAAGAGCTGGTAAGTGATCTGTGGGCTTTCAGGAGTCCATGGCCCCAGGACTGGTGATCAACTCTATAGCCATACTGACTGGGAATTCAAGAATGCTGGGCCCACATCGTTGATGAAACAGGTAATATCAGGTCTCAGTTTTTCATACTTCACAATAGTCCAGATCAGAGGGTAAGCCCATCTCAAGTTGAAGGGTGTAACCACTGAACTAAGGGTTTTATGGTGAGCCTGCTACCCTCTGTTTCCCTAAAAAATGTGAATGCTGGAATAAGGCTCAGACCCAGCATCAGGTCCAACCTGTGTTGGACTACCAAGAGTGCACTATATTGGGGGCTTCTTTCTCCTTGGCTGGAATATGGGCTGGACCAGGATAGTGTCTTCTCCATTGGCAGAAGAGAAAACAGGGTCCTGATTGTGCCACAGAGTTTCAATTCTGGCATCTCACAGCAGAATCCTAAAGTTGCTGATGGCTGATGGGAGGGTATGTGTCTTTCAGAAATCCCATGTGTATAAGAAAACCCTGCAGGCCTTAATCTACCCCATCTCGTGTACCACACCCCACAACTTTGAGGTCTGGACAGCCACTACCCCAACTTACTGCTATGAGTGTGAAGGCCTGCTCTGGGGCATTGCCCGGCAGGGCATGCGCTGCAGTGAGTGTGGAGTCAAGTGCCACGAGAAGTGCCAGGACCTGCTCAATGCTGACTGCCTACAGCGTGAGTGCCCTATGGGATGAGTGGGGGGAAGCAGGGGAAGCAGGGCAGGGTCTCTCCAAAACAGGTTGCAGCAAAGAGCTGGGATGGTTGAACTGTCATTCCTGCACTCCACCTGATTCTGAAGCCCTTTCCTTTTCAGACCAGGTAGGCTCTTGAATCAAGGGGCATTGCCTTTCTAAATACCAAGTCTTATACTACCCTTTTAAGCACCTTTTAGGAAAAATTCTTTGAGCTTTCTGTGGCCTTCTGGTGGACCTAGAGTCTCCTCCAGGATTCAGTTGATCCCAGAGGCTGAGCTTGGATACTGTATATACCACAGTAGCCTTATTGCCCAAATGACAAGAGCATGTTTAATCAGAGACTGAAACTAATGAGAGAAAGTGGGTTCTGTGAGGTTCCAGGCCTCACAGAGGAACTTCCTGAGGTTTAGACTCAAGGACCCAGGGAAGGCAGCATTTATTCCCTGCTTATAGATGGAGCTTTTAGATGATAGTTCCAGGAATAGAAATTTCCAATGGATTGAGCAGAGGTCTGGGAGGACATTGTGCCAGACTCCCAGGGTACTGGCTAAATATGTGACTTGTGTTGCCATGATGGAGTGGGGAGAATAGGAGCAGGAAAAGTAGCAAGTTCCTCTCAGAGGAGGGGGTAGTGCTGGGCTCGCACTCACTGTAGCTGGACCTCAGGCACAGCAGGGGTGGGGGAGATAGAAAAATATTCTCTTGCCCTCCAGATCGCCCAGGTATTACCCAGAGCCAAACTATAACAATGAAAGCTTTAAAGATTGTGGTAGGAGAAAGGAAGGTCCCCTTAAGACTCACAAGCACTTCATTATCCCAAGGAGAAATATGACGTAAAAGGGGCCCAGGGAGAGCCCTCGAGGAATTATTCACTTAAAATGTACTTCTTTGAAGAGCCCTAGATTAATGCCAGTGGGATGTCTGTAGTACATGAAGAGACAGATAGGACAGAGTCAACAAAAGAAATGAGGTTCTGAAAAAACTGTCTGAAGACAAACGCCAGTGATGACTTTGCCCAAACCCATCATGGGGGGTGGCAAGCACAGGTGCCAGAGGCCTTGCTTTAATTGCTGAGCACTAGCAACCAGGCTGGCTCACAGGCTGCTTGCTGGAAGCCTTCTGAAAAGTGCTGCCAGGGTGTCTGACTTTTCCTCAGGGGCCTTTCAGAGGTCCCAGTCCAAGGAAGTAGCACCTTGCCTGGGATATGCTAAATGGCAAGAGCAGGTTGCAGCCTGGGTCATTTTCCATTTATCAGAGAACATCTGCCTAAGCCTTCTGTGAAGCACACATTGAAATGAAATGCCCTATGGGCCTCCTTGGACAGAAAACCCAGCTTCCCAAGCTCCTAGGGTTAGAATGCAGATGTTGGCCTTTACTTTTTGCTCTGAGTTTTTAGAGTAAAGGCCTAAACCTTTGGGGACTGCAGACAGAGGAGATCAGTCTATTGGGCCAGTATAGGAAGGATGGGGCCCCAGCTGCTCTTCTGAGAAGCCTAGTTGGTGAAATACACTGGAGAAGCCTGTGTTCTGCCATGATCCTTGGGCAACAGGGAAAGCCTGCTGGCCTCTGACATGAGCTAGGTGGGGCCACAGCTCGTGAAGATGGCCTTTAACCCTGTCAGGGTAATAACGATGGTTGTAACAACAGTAGTGACCATTTATTAAGTACCTGCTACTGCCAGGCCCTGGGCTAGATGCTTTACATATGCTATCTAAAATAATGCTTATTACAACCCTGAGAGATAAGCACCATTATCTCCTCTTAGAACAAACCAGTTCACTAAGCTAGGAGTGCTGGAGCCAGGATTTAAATCCAAGTCTGTCTGACACCAAAGGCCATACTTTTCTCACCATACCACACTATTTTCTGAGATTAAAGGCACTAGAGCCATAGAGCAGAACCCAACTATGTGACAAATTCTGGCATTTGTATCATGCTTGGCAGTTGGATGAGATTCATGCTATTGCTGTACCCACCCACTACCCCTCCCTGATAACTGAGATACCCATTGGGGATATTTTGACTTTAAAGTTGGACAGCTGATGAAAAATTTCAACATATGTCTAAATAGAAAGTATAATGAGCTCCTATAACAACTATCAAGATTTTGCTACCCTCTGAGTTGCATTTAAACTCCGCTGGCCAGGCAGCAGGCCCCACAGTGTTAATTTTTCCCAGAGATATCCCAGTCTCCCTAAGCTTCTCCCACTGTTCCATGGCCTCTCTCAGGCCCTGTTCCTTAGCTCAACCTGTTCTGGTAGGTGTCTGGTAGGCGGCTTGTTGCTTATTCCTACTTTCCATCTCTGGCTGTCCTTTAGGGGCTGCAGAAAAGAGCTCTAAACATGGAGCTGAGGACCGGACCCAGAACATTATCATGGCCATGAAGGACCGCATGAAGATCCGAGAGCGAAATAAGCCAGAGATCTTTGAAGTTATCCGGGATGTCTTCACAGTGAGCAAAGTTGCCCATGTGCAGCAGATGAAAACAGTGAAGCAGAGTGTCCTGGATGGCACCTCCAAATGGTCGGCCAAGATTACCATCACTGGTGAGCAGGCCAAAGTTTGAGGGTCACGAAGGCCTGGGCTGTGGGGAGGATCCTGGGGAAGAAACATCTTGAGTGAGAGTGAGTAAGGGATTGGGGAGAAGGAAGATAGAAATGAGGGGAAGAGGAAAGCCTCATTATTCATCACTCCTCCTCACCTAGACCCTGGTGCTGGGAGAGGCAAGACTGGCACCTGCAAACAATATGAACCATAATACAAGGATTTGGTAACAACCTGACACGATATACTTGGTTAACAGTTTGATATTACAAGAGCTGGGAGTGGGGGTTGGGGATGGGCAGGAGACCAGAGAACAGTTAAACAGTGGTTTACGAACTGGGTGGGTGGCACTGAAGAGTGCATGTATCAGAGGTTGTAAGGGGCAATGTGTACAAGTGTCAGTTAGGGCTCAGGTGGGGAGGTGGGATTCTTGGGCTAGGCTTTGAGGGAAAGGCTGGTGCCCAGGACTAAGGATATATATGGAGGAATGAGATTAGGGTTCCTGTGCAAGGAGCATAGATAGGCTGCTCTAAGATGGAGAGCACACATGAGTAGTGTTATGGAGAGTAGTTTCTCACCTACTCTAAAGTATACTGTGAAGCCTCCTACATGTGCTTGGGTTGCAGTCGTGTGTGCGCAGGGCCTACAAGCCAAGGACAAAACAGGATCCAGTGACCCTTATGTTACTGTGCAAGTCGGCAAAACCAAGAAGCGCACCAAGACCATTTTTGGAAACTTGAATCCTGTTTGGGAGGAGAAGTTCCATTTGTAAGTCACAGAGGGCTTTGTCTTACCTGGGACTGTGTTTGTTTTGGAAGCAGCATTGCATCCTGCTGTTCTGGGCTTGAGCCCTAAGATTAAGCAAGGGCAGTGGAGAAAACCCATTTCTCACATGCTTTACTTGGGCAGCAGCCATTCTTTCTCTGGGTTTCTGCTCATGGGCTATCATAACAGGGTGACTTTACCCAAGCCCTGTCTTAGCTAGGGCTATTAAAGGGGCCCCAGGGCACCCCATCCTGCTTTTTCTAGCATTAGAAAGATTTTACTACTTCTCAGTGACAGAACCAGGGACTGTCCACCCTATCATACCCCCCAGTCCTGCTAAGGTTAGGCTCTTAAAGGAGTGGGGAAAGAATGTCCTTGTCCTACGAAATCTGGGGTCTGGAGAAGTTTCCGTCTCCCTTAAGGGAAATTTTTCTTCCTGCCTCAGCTTCCACCCCACTCTTATTTCCATTATCTCACTTTCCTACAAACTGTTTCTTATGACAGTAAGGAATAGTTGTTAAAATGGCAAACTCTAGCCTAGGACTTGGACTAATATCTGGAGAATCCAGATGCTTTGTCACCCCTTCCCCCAGGGGGCGGAACTTTGGGTCAAAAGGCTGCGCTCAAGGATCCAGAAGGCTGCAGAGTTTTGCCCACTTTTTAAAAATTTAAATAGATTTAGGTGATACAAGTAGTTTTTTGTTATATGGATTAATTGCATAGTAGAGAAGTGTAGGCTTTTAATATACCTGTCACCTGGATAGTGTACATGTACATTGTATCCAATAGGTAATTTTTTTATCCTGTACCTCACTCTCACCCTTCCATCCTCCCCCTTCTAAGTCTCCAACATCCATTAAGTCACTCTGTGTGACCATACATATCCATTGCTTAGCTCCCACTTACAAGTGAGAACATGCAGTATTTGGTTTTTTGTTCCTGGGTTATTTCACTTAGAATAATGACCTCCAGTTCCATCCAAGTTGCTGCAATACATTGTTTCATTCTTTTTGATGGCTGAGTAGTATTCCATGACAGACATATATATATATCACATTTTCTTTATCCACACATCAGTTGGTGGGCACTTAGGTTGGTTCCATATCTTTGCAATTGTGAATCATGCTAAGATAAACACGTAAGTGCAGATGTCCTTTTTTTTTTTTTTTTTTTTGAGGCAGGTCTCATTCTGTTACCCAGGCTGGAGTGCAGTGGTGTGATCATAGCTCACTGCGGCCTCAAACTCCTGGGCTCAAGTGATCCTCCTGCCTCAGCCTCCTAAATAGCTGGGACTACAGACGTGTGCCACCATGCCCAGCTAATTTTTCTCTTTTTTGTAGAGGCGGGGTCTCACTGTGTTGCTTCTCAAACTCCTGACCTCAAGCAGTCCTCCCTCCTCAGCCTCCTAAAGTGCTAGGATTACAGGCATGAGCCACCGTGCCTGGCCTATTGCCCACTTTTATTAAACTCCTACTACGTACGAGACACCATACGTGATACTATGTATCTAAAAATGAATAGGACAATCCCTGGCTTCAAGAAGCTGGTCATTGATTTGTCTATTATTTTTCAGTAGAGCAATAGTTATAATATTTTAGTGGAATATGGAAAGGTATTGTAAGAACATAGAGAAAGGAACAGCAAATTCTGCTGAGTATAACTTTTGGGTAAGGCAACAGGACCCAGAAGGCAACTGTTGGGGAAGAATGCATGAGGAGGGACCTGGGAAAACTCCCTTCTCCAAAGCAAACCCCATAATGGAGATGATAATTCAATGGGGTATTAAAGGATGATAGAAGTTCACCAAGCACATAGTTAGGCAGATGTGGGGTTAGATAGAAAACGAAGGAGGTGTGACCAGATGGACCGACCATGAACATATCTAGCATCTTTACTCACATTGTATCTTGGATTCCGAGGAGGGAGCTAGCAGTTGCTTCCAGGGGCCCCAGGACATGTCTAGCTGTTTTCCTGTTGGTGTTGCTATATAGCTAGCTGCATAAGAAGTCAGAATTGACCCTAATTACTCCTCCTCCCACCCTGCCCTTTGTTCCAGGGTGGTAAGGACTGATAAGAGTATGTAGAGCCACTTAGGCTCAGGAATGAAGAGCCATTTGCTGGAATAGCCTGACTGGCTTGGAACTTTAGTATCTCTGTTCTCTGACTCCTTCTCTTCCTATTCCAGGCCTCAAGTGCAGTTGATGGAGCTTTGGGGAGGGAATTAGAAGTAATACGAGTAGGTGCTACTGGGTCTGTCCCTAACAGAGCCTGCCTAATTCTCCCACAGCGAGTGCCACAACTCTTCTGACCGCATTAAGGTACGTGTGTGGGATGAGGATGATGACATCAAGTCGAGAGTAAAGCAGCGGCTAAAGCGAGAGTCCGATGATTTCCTTGGCCAAACCATCATTGAAGTTCGGACACTAAGTGGTGAAATGGACGTCTGGTACAACCTGGGTGAGGACTCTGAACCAGAGAAGGTTACTGAAAAGGGGAGAGTGTGAAAGGGGACTGGGGAATATTCCCATCTACCAAATCCACCACTCAATCTCCAGAGCATACCTCTGAACAGAACCTGTCTTACTGGCAAAGAACTGACTGTGGATAGGGATGGGGGACAGAGGAGTGGTGGTGGCTGGGACTCACTCTGGCTGAACATTCTTCATTTTCAGACGGCTCTCTAATCCTTAGTGCCTTTGGCCCCCTGGCCACGCCTGTTCTCCCACCCAGCCAGTTCAGGGGTCTTTGTGGAATATGTTGTCACTGGAGTGGGTTCACCCGATAGGGTCAGCGCCGCCTTTTCCCCGGGCTGAGCCGGGGTGGGGCTGCCCATACTGTCTCATTGCATTGGTGTCAATCCCTGGTCGTCTTTCCTTTCTAGAGAAGAGGACAGACAAGTCAGCCGTCTCGGGGGCTATCCGACTGCAAATCAGTGTGGAGATCAAGGGGGAGGAGAAGGTAGCCCCATATCACGTGCAGTATACGTGTCTCCATGAGGTGAGCCAGCCCTTGGTAGGAGGCAGGTGGGAAAGCAGGGTTGGGAAGGGCCTTTGGCTATAAGTAGGATTGCTAGGGGGGTGAAGGTCCAGGGCCTGTTTTTAATTTTATCCTGGGCTCACCGTGCTACCTGGACAGCCCAAGTGACTGAACCCAGACATGGTTCTCTTCTGCTAATGTGAGAACAGCCTACTGGGGCCACAGAAGAAACTGAGTAGTGACTAAAGGACAGAATTTCTGTGGAACCCTATTCACACTCTGCTGGGCTTTACCACCAGGTTTTTTTTTTTGTTTTTCATGTTTTTAACCCTTTTCTTTGCTCTGCTCTGTCTCCTGCAGAACCTTTTCCATTACCTCACAGACATTCAGGACAGTGGAGGGGTCCGGATCCCTGAGGCTCGAGGAGACGATGCATGGAAGGTGTACTTTGATGAGACAGCCCAAGAAATTGTGGATGAATTTGCCATGCGCTATGGCATCGAGTCCATATATCAAGCCATGACGTGAGGCTCCTCTGGGGCTCTGGGAAGTGGCTACTAATCCTTGGGGTGGCTAAAGAAGGCAAACTGACGTGGTGAACAGGTCCTTAGTGGGATAGCATGCAGTGATTCCTTACTTTCCTCTCTGAGCTGGGTGGGACGGGTCTGTGCCCCAGGGTAAAGAGGGTCTGTGTAGAAAGGGAGTGTTTTTGTCAGTAGCTCATGGAAAAGATATTCCAGAGTTCAGCGATAGGAAGGGAAAAGGGCATGGGAGGGGATGCAAGGACAAACCTGTCCAGACATCACAGGCCTGAGCAGACAGGGCATACGTGCTCATGGACATGTGTTCGTGACAGACTAGCTGACCTAGACTGGCCTAGGAGTTAGGACACTAAACTGTAGGGAGAGCAGTCATGTATGGAGTCGACTAAGACTCCTCTAACAGGAATTCCTGACTGGTATGAGAAACTGGGTAGCCCATCCATCGGTGAGGCTGTCCCTAGAGCTGTGCACAGGACGCAGCCCTGGGAAAGCAGAGGGCAGCAATTACCCTGGCTGTGCTCCATTTATTCCACAAACTTTTACTGAGTTCCTACTTGGCTTTTGCTGCAAGCCCTGAAGAGTCTCTGAGGCTGAGGATGCTGTGTTTTTCAGGCACTTTGCGTGTTTGTCATCCAAGTACATGTGTCCTGGTGTGCCAGCAGTGATGAGCACCTTACTGGCCAACATCAATGCCTACTATGCCCACACAACTGCTTCTACCAATGTCTCTGCATCTGATCGCTTTGCAGCCTCCAACTTTGGGGTGAGTGTCATGTAAACACATATGTACCCATTTGTTATCAATTAATAAAGTTTGATTTTTCTAGAGTTGATCAATGTGCATAAAATTCAGTTAGCTACCACCTTTATAAATGAACCTTGTTTCCTTATGGGTGTGTAGACTCTCCTCAGACACGTATAAATGAGAGAAGGTAGAATAGCACCACTGTGGTTTGGGGAGAGTGCCACCTGGGCTAAGGCAGAACCTCTCTAGGCCAACAACACGGTCAAGTTACCATGTTCTTCAGTCTTGCAGGTCCACAGATGGGACTTTCTTAATCTCTTCAGTCTCTCTGTGACATGTCTCTCTCATACCACTTAAGTTCATTTGAGACTGATGTCTAAGTGAGGATGCCAGTGTGTACCTGAACCTATCCCTTTTCTAGTGTCTGGACTGTTTTCCCTATCCAAGTTGTGCCCTTCCTGGTGTTAAGGTACTGAGAAGTTGAGTCATTACTCAGAATGTCACCTGACATAAATTTGATATAAACTGGATGAAATATTTCTGACCCACCACAAGGATTACCATTTTAGGGATAAAATTACTGATATTCTCCCAATCCACTGAGCCTCTAAGCCTTGTTTTTTGGCTAATCACTTTTTTTTTATTGATAGTCTTTCTTTAGATGAATTAATGTAATTGATTAAACCAGTCAAATATCTGTTCCATTCTGTCTTGTCTCATTATATAGTGACTTAATATCTAATGATGTAGTCAATATATAAGTTCTGGGAGTGCTAAGCCAACACCCTACAGGAACATGATTCCACATTTAATTACACTTTTTCTATGAAAATCAGCTATTTTAATATTTAAAAAGTATACACTAAGGGAAATTATGTGGAACGTGGTTTAAAGAGGGACCCCCTCATGTCTGCCTGATCATCTTTTGAATGCATCACTATTTTTCCCTCCCATCATCACTGCTGGACTGTGGCTATATAACTGTTGTGAGCTACCCCAAGATAAGTTAGGAGACCTCATACTCAGGAGCAGTTGGAGAATGTGTTTGGAGTTTCCTTTTATTGACTAAGATGAGTTATAGTTCCAAAGGAATAGAGATGCACTGGCCATGTCCTGTTGATTCTTGTACGGAAAGAACCGTTTCTTCTCCCAAGGACTTGGCTTTCCCCTTGTCAGCGTGAGAAGATTCCCTAGTCTGAGACAGAGCCAGAATGTGATGGAACAGGGACTGCCTGCCCATTTTTCCTTTACTTTGTTTGTTGTTCTTCCCATAGGCAGGGATGGGACAGAATGTGTCTCCAACCTGATGTCTCCTCCCCACCCTTTCCTACTCACCCAGAGGTGGTTCTGTTTCTGCTGTGGTTTAGGGGACTCAGACACAGGTTCTCTCTTTCTTCCCCATTATTTGTTTCTCACCTTCAGAAAGAGAGATTTGTAAAACTGCTGGACCAGCTACACAACTCACTGAGGATCGACCTGTCTATGTACAGGGTGAGTGAAGATATGACTGTGGGGTGGGATAATAGACATCAAGCTCAGTCTAGGGAGACTGTAGGCCAATCTTGACTATAAGGATTGAAGGCAGGGGAAATCAGCCTGTGTCCTCACACGCATCTGAATGGCCAATGCTACTGACACCTGTGGCTCTCCTAACTCCAAGGACCATGCAGTTTATAAATAGCAGCAGCTATGGCTACTTTTTCTAGACAGATGGCTTTCCAGCCCTTCTCTTGCCACTCTATTATTACTCTGATGACATTGTCATTACGGAGTTTCCTAAGAATAATCTCTTCCAGAAATTCCCTTTTTTTTTTTTTTTTTTTTGAGACAGAGTCTCACTCTTTTGCCCAGGCTAGAGTGAGTGCTGTGGCGTCAGCCTAGCTCACAGCAACCTCAAACTCCTGGGCTCAAGTGATCCTCCTTCCTCAGCCTCCCGGGTAGCTGGGACTACAGGCATGCGCCACCATGCTCGGCTAATTTTTCTATATATTTTTAGTTGTCCAATTAATTTCTTTCTATTTTTAGTAGAGATGGGGTCTCGCTCTTGCTCAGGCTGGTTTCGAACTCCTGAACTCAAACAATCCGCCCTCCTCGGCCTCCCAGAGAGCTAGAATTACAGGCGTGAGCCACCACGCCCGGCCCAGAAATTCCCTTTTTAAAAATTAAATACTTAACTACATTTCCTTTTTGCATTTTTCTATACTTTCCTCATTTTCCAAGGGAGGCATGAGAATCTGGCTGGAGGGGCAGAGAGTAGCTTGGCTTGGGCAAGTAATTTGGATCAGAGGTCATGTCCATTCCTAGTATGGAGGGAGGAAATAGGTGTGGTAGGAGGGTGGATACCTGGGATGGGGCAGGATAAGGCAATGGGCAGTTTCTTAGTTCCTCCTAAGTTAGATCTTAGAATGGCTTCATTACTTGCTTTAAAGTGTTGTGAATTTCCAGAACAGGCAATATACGCACATTAAAAAGTAAGTATAAAAACAACCTCAAAGTCAAAAAGAAGTGAAGTTTTAATTATCTGCACTTCGAGTGCCCTCCATTTGCACGAGTAATGGAGAGTTGACTGTATATCTTATCTTTGGCATATAAGTAGCCATTTGCAGATTTAAGAAACTAATCATTAAAGTGAAGAGTGGCTCAGCATCTTCCTTCAGCTCTCCATGGCAGCTTCCTCCTAACACTTATGCCAAAGGGAGTGAAGTAAGGATGGTGGGCAGTTCCTAAGGAACTCACTCCAAAAGCAGTTCTGCTCAGAGCTCTGCCATCTGCTGGGCTTTACTGTAAGGAAACTCCAGGTCCTAGATCTCACTTGGTCCATAGTGTGGCTCCACTTATATTCCAGGATATACAGTTAGATTGTAACTTTTGAAGAACTCACTGTTTGGGTGTAAGAATCTTCATTCAAGAAAAGTGTGCATATGTGTAAATGTGTGTGTGTGTGTCTGTGTTCATTTGTACAGATGCTCACACATTGCATGTGAAGTAGGGTTAGCGGGAGGATGTGTTGCTCTCCGGGCTGGGGAGTATCAACCCCTGCTTTTGGCAAGGATCTTTCTGCATCAGTAGAAAATAGAGAGGGAAACTGTAACATTACAGCTTTTTTTGCCCAGCTCAACCAGAGAAAATTTTAGTGGGTAGTAGTAAGGAAGCTTTTGATTTCATCACTTTTGGCAGGGAAAGTTTTCATATTCCTCTGTTCCTTTCTTACACTTCCTTGATTTGCAACAGAATAATTTCCCTGCTGGGAGTCCTGAGCGGCTTCAGGACTTAAAATCCACAGTAGATTTGCTGACCAGCATTACTTTCTTCAGGATGAAGGTAAGGGGTGGACTGGGTTGGGGTGGTGCTGGGCTGGGACCTGGCTGCAGGAACATGGAGAATAAGAATCATTTGGCAGAGTCTAAGGCTACAGGAGCTATCACCTCTAAGCTTACGTTTCCATACACCTTTCCCTGGGTTACTTCTGATTTAGCGCATAGACCGTGGATCAATGAGGGCGGGCTGGAAGTTCTCGCCATCAGCTATTCTGGCAGTTTCATCACTGGGGCAAGGTCTAGGCACCTGTAAAGGGATGAAGGAATCTAGAGTAGGTTTGGGGGGGAGTGCTAAGAGGATATCCCACCAAGGTAAGCAGGACCCTGGGTCCATATTTCTGTCATTAATCGGCAGGTACAAGAACTGCAAAGCCCTCCAAGAGCCAGCCAGGTGGTAAAGGATTGTGTGAAGGCCTGTTTGAACTCTACATATGAGTATATCTTCAACAACTGCCATGACTTATACAGCCGCCAGTACCAACTGGTAAGAAGTTTGCTATTGGGTAGGGCCGGCTATCAGTGGCTCTTTGGAGCCTCAGCTTTCCTGTGCTGTGGTCCTGGTGGAAGGGAGCTCAGGACAGGGTCCTTAAAGTTCTTGTGGGTGAGTGAGTTGTGGAGTATGGACCATCTAGGCCACATGAGACATGTGTGGATGGAAATGTGTGGATGGAAAGGGACTCTTAGACAAGATGAGACATACCTGAGTTGAACAGAAATGGCAATAGTAAGTTTTACTTTGGTGCTGAAGAAAGTGAAACTGAATTCATGCACAGTTTGTGGGTTGAGTAGGGGAATTCTCAGTCTCCCCCAGAGGCTTTTTTCTCCCCCAAGGTTAATTTTATTCTGAGTCATATAGACTCCTATAAGTTCTGGGCTGCCTGAGATCTATAGCTTTCTCTCTCAGCTACTATCTCTTGGAAGTTTAACTTTTCCCTCTGATTACTTCTCATGGCAATGCATGGTTCTTCTGGGTTCTGTTCATCAGCTGACTATCAAGGCTTCCCATATCTTTCTGTGAAGTTGAGCTACTTCACCTGTTTAGCCTGGCATCCTAACCCAATACCCGATGACTTAGTACATTTTTCTAGATCCTTCCAATAGTATCATTCCTCCTCTACCCTCCATTTCAAAGCCAGGACTTCCTTCTGGCTCCAATTACTCAATTATAGTTCCTGTCTTAAGAGTGTCTTGCTGACCATAAATTTGCTACTAGAGTAGATTCCCTTCAGTCCAGCAAATATATGTTTAATATTCTAGGTCAGGTCTGAGGAAAGCACAGTGCTCCTTCAGTAAGTTTGCAGTCTAACGAGCATTTACATAACTCCAATCAAAGCAGTCTGTTAGAAGAGCCTTGGAAAAGGGATAAGATTGAAGGAATTCAAGGAGGAGGAAGTCATTCTTGATCAGATATTGGGAAAAGCTACATAAAACAAGGGGCATTTGAGATCGACCTTGAAAGGAGTATTTGGACAACAAATGGTGGGAGGACAACCTAAATCTCTTAGACATTTATCTTTTGGTGAACATGTCCATTTTTAATGCTTCCTAGAAGCACCTTAGTAAAGACTAAGATCTCGTTCATGCTGCCTCTTCTCACTCCCAAATGTACTTCTTGTGCCAGCCATATATTTAAATATGGCTTCCTCCTTTTAAGGTTTATAAAACTTCTATTGGTTCTAAAGTCTGTGGGAGGTTTTCCTGAGGCCTTTGTTCCACCTGCTACATTCTGGGCCCCTCTGTCATCCATCTGTGGATTTTCTCTGGTTGGGGGAAGACACTGTTCTCAGCTTTGATCTTTCAACTATGCAGGTGTCTGTTTGAATATCTGGTCTTTATTTCCCAGCATAGAATCAACTAGACTTTGAAAGAGGGCTTATAAGCTATTCAGGGACTTTCTTTAGCCTTTGTATTTCGCTACCTGCTTTTTACTTTTTCTCAATTGCATTTTCTCCTTACTCAGTATTTGCACTGGAGTAAACCCATGATATCTTTTTAAATTTCCATCTACTGACCTTCAGTCATTGGTTCATTCATCCATCCATTCATTTAACAAACAGAGCATTAGAGATGTAAAGTTGAGTAAGACACATCTCAGCCTTTAGGGACCTCATTGTTTGGTGGAGATGGGGGCAAATTACTACATTTATTGACTTTTATTATTTTTTTGTTACTACATTTTATTGTAGTTGTGGTCGTCTATACCAGAGGTTCACAGAGGGTACTCTAGAAGCCCAGAGGAGGGGCATCTGACCAGACCTGGGGTGTCAGGGGAAACTTCTTAGAAGAGATTAAGTTCAATCTGAATTTTGAGGAAGGAGTAGGAATTAGCTAAAGAAAGGGGCTGGAGGGGAGGAGGAGAACATGTGGAAAAATCGTGCGTGAGTATGTTAATTTAAGGAAGTATAAGCAATTTAATTAGGGTAATTACAGTATGAGGCTTTGAGATTCAGCTATCTGGGATCAAATCTTAGTTCTACTATTTATAGCTGCATGACCTTGGACAAGTCATGTAACCTTGTGTCCTTCAGTCTCTTCACCTGTAAATGAAGGTGAAGAAAATTTCTACAGAATGGAGCTGTTGTGGGGATTAAATGAGATGATGTGTGTAAAGTTCTTAGCACAGTGCCTGGCACATAATAAGCACTAAATAAGTGGCATAGTGGTGTGATGGCTATAACCAGAGAAGTGGTAAGGTATGAGGTTGAGAGAGAGGTCATATTCTGGAGGACCTTTGTATCAAGCTACAGAGTTTAAACATTTTTGAAAGCAATTGAAGGGCTTTAAGCAGAGGAGTAACGTTTTGAGATTTTCCTTGTAGAAAGATCACTGACAGCTACAAGAAAGAGGGATTAGATTGAAGATGAAAGACCAGTTAGTTAGGAGATCCTTGAATGATAAGAGCCTGAGCCAGGATAGTAGCAGAAAAAGTAAAAGGAAGAGATGTATTTAAGTGACTTAGGGAGCTAGAATCAACAGGATGTAGATTCTGTCCTGGTTTCTGGTAACTTCTCAATAATGCAGGCTTATTCAGGACTGTGGAGACTTTGCAGTGACATATGACATCCACATAAAAGCCCTACCTCTGTTTTTCTGGGCAACCCCACTTTTGCCTCAGTGGGAGGTAATGTCCATTCCAGCCTTTCTGTGGTGACCCCTACTTGTCCTGTCTGGGCTCTGAATCTAGAGTGGCTTCTCTTTTCGTGAGATCCACCATGTATTCCCTTGCTTCTTCCCTTTTCTTATCCGGCTAGGCAAATAGCTTCCTAGATGCAGTTCTTCCCCCTAATGATGTTCAGGGGGTCAAGGAAAGTCTTGTCCTGCTGAAAGTTAGGCCAAAATGCATGCTAGTTCTGCTCAGTCACTCCTGCAGATGTTGAATGAGCTTCTCAGCTAAGCTGTGTATGTGTGTGGTGGTGGTGGAAAGTCAGAGGAGGAACACCACCAGAAGAGGAGGGCTTCCTGTGGTGGTCACATAGAACCAGGCCTACTTAGTGGGGCTGGAGGGGCTGCTTTCTTCAGCCAGGGTGTTACTCTACCCATAGCAACTGAGAGAAGGAGGAAGTGGGGTGGCCACCTTTATGTTTCCTGGACTGACCAAGCTTATCACAGCAGTGCCCTGGAGCTGGGGAGAGAATTTCTCAGGGATGGGCTCTCTGTATCCAAGGATCTCCCAGTGGTCACTCTCAGAGAACAGGGCCAGTCTTGTGGAAGACAAGCTCTGGAAAAGGAAAGGTCCCTGATTCTAGAGGAAGGGGAATGGGGAGGGGAAGAGAAAGAGGAAGATTGGAGACACTCTCCACATTCTACTCAGACTTTCTCTCTCTCTCACTGTCTCCTCTGGAACAAGAAGCAGGAGCTACCTCCAGAGGAACAAGGGCCCAGCATTCGGAACCTGGACTTCTGGCCCAAACTCATCACACTCATTGTGTCAATCATAGAGGAAGATAAGAATTCCTACACACCTGTTCTGAACCAGTGAGTATCACCCTACTTGGTCCTGTCTACTTGGTGGTTGGTCTGTCCATCTGTCTAACAACCTCTTTCTTTCCTATCTCTGTATGTTTGCAGTGCCACCTCTTCCTCCTGTCCGTCCATCTGTCCCTCTGTCCCTTGTATCTGTCTGGGTAACTGTTTCTGGAGACAAGTGTGGAAACAAAATGGGGGGCCCCGCCCAGACTGAGCCAGCCTCCCTGGAGTTAGAGGCTTCTGGGACTGTGGCTGCCGCCATAGGAGCCCCAGGGGATCCAGAGACCATGTGTGTATGTGTCTGTCCACTGTGAATAAAGTGGGCCTTCTTCTAACCCACACCCTTGCCCTTTCTTCTCCAGCTTATTTAGCTTGGGCCTGTCTTCCAGCTTCTCCTCTGGGCCTGAATTCCTTGCCTTCTGGGCATCCTCTCCCCTGGGCCTACCTTGCCTAAGGGGATCCCTTCTGCCCCTACTTGTCCTACCACTGGCCCCTGGGCCCCTTTTCTGCAGATTAAGCCTAGCCCTGTTCCGTGGGCTTCTCCTCTTTCCAATGTGACCTCCAAGAACTAGGCACTTTAGCCTTGGAATTACTCAAATCAAATGGCCTTATTCTCTAACTGGGGTTTATTCCATCATCCAGGTTTCCTCAGGAGTTGAATGTGGGAAAAGTCAGCGCAGAAGTGATGTGGCATCTGTTTGCCCAAGACATGAAATATGCATTGGAGGGTAAGGGTCTTCCCACTTCAGTGGGCTGCCAGGCTCCTAGCCTGAGCACCTTGTTTGCTGTCCCTTTCCTCTCCCAGACAACTACAAGTTCTGGGTGAGTGGAACAGTGAGAAACTAAAGGCATGGTACCAGGTGGCCCTCAGGAGGCCTTGGGTGGGCAAAGCTCCAGCCAAAGGAAATCATGAAAATAAAAGGCTGTGGGGATGTTGATTCCTCCTTCCATCTTTAGAGCAAGTGTCTGTTCCCCAGCCGAGAGATCAGCTCCTGCCATGGTGGGTGTTCCCAGGTGGCTTACTTTACAGTTTTAAAGCATCAGAGAACCTTAAATCCATAGATAAGATAATAGTTGTTTTCTCATACTGGGGACTCTCTAGCCTGGCTTTCCTTGAAAGCTGCTCTGGATTAGGTGACCAAGCCAGGAAGATAGTTCTTCCCTCATTCCTCCTGTAGTGCAGGGCTAGAGGCAAATTATCCATCCTGTTCATTCAGGTTATCCTTTCACTCATTTCCCACCTTGGTCCACAGAGATATCGCTCCTTACCTGTATCAGACCTTCCCATCTGTACCCATGTGTGCTCACTTGTCTGTTTTTCTATATTAGTCTATCTCCTCAGTCTGTGAAAGTGGATGTGGAAGGAGGAGTAGCTGTCTGGGGCAAGGACAAAGTAGAGTCTGGATCTATTATTTGGGTAGAGTGGCAAATGGGTCACCCTCAGACTCTTGAACTTGTGAGATTTAGAATCAGTGAATCTTGAATTTGAAAGAAACCTTGAAGATCTGTGATAAGTTTGAGCCAGCCACAGACTATACAGGTACATTCTGTGACACAGCCGCAAAGCAGTGGCTGCCTCCTGCAACACTGGGTCAACCCTGGGGCTATAACCCACACCTTAGCCTGTCAGGCCAGTGAGGAGATCACCTGTCCCCTTTCCCCAGGAAGTACTTAGCGAGCCTGATGGGGAATATGGTCCCACTTCTTGAAGAACTCCATCTCTAGGGGGTTTGGGGGAAAAGAAAAATATCTGTGAAAAGTGAATCAGCTGTACAAGAGGGGTAGTGTGAGGTAGAGCAGAGGTTGTCAGACAGAAGTACCTCAGGAGCTAAATTAAAAGGGGAAACCCAGGGGCTGGGCTCCAGGCCTTTTACCTGGTGCCAGCGAAGTCAGCTCTGCTTTTACCAATCTTATATGGGGTTCTAGGTGAGATTTCTTTTGAAAGGGGAGTTCTGCTAATGTTTAAAACAAACACAAAGGGGTTGAAAACTCCTCCTTTAGGAGAAATAACCAATGTTGACCTAGTTTCAAATCTCAATTTCACTACCTGCTTAGCAGTATGACCTTGGACCAAACTCCTTAATTTTTATGAGCTCACATTTTCTCATCTGTAAGATGAGCTGATGAAATGCCTGAGATGTATATAACATAGTTAGCATAATGCCTGGAACTTACTCAGCACTGAATAAATCTTAGTTATCAAGAATAAGAAACCATTTTAGGCTCATGAGCAGAGATGCAACATGAACAAAGTATTATTTTAATAAGATTTTACCTCAGTGGAAAATTGGGGCAGCTGGAATAGGGAGAGACTAGAAGCAGAGAAAGAACACAGATGGTGAAGGGCTGTTGTAATAATTTAGGGATGAGGGGAAGGGGCTGAGATTAGAGCAGAGAATTGGAGAGGGAAGAATGGGCTTTGATAAACTTTGGAAGGAAGTTGTTGCAGGACTTAGTGATTGTCAGAATATGGAGAGCCAGAGAAGGGAAGGCATTTGGGGGCCTGGATGATAGGAGGACAGCGTTGAATCTAACTGTGAAAGGGAAGTTGAAAATGCTGTTATTGAGGTATAATTTATATACAATAAAATAAAAACACTTTAAGAACACAATTTGAGTGTTGACAAATAAACACATCTGTGTAACAACTCTCCCAATTAAAATATGGAATGGAAAGTTACCATGTAACCCAGACTCTAAGGACCTGAGAAAGCTTCCTGGAGGAGGTGATGTACAAGCTGAAACCTGAAGGATGCTAGGACTTAGCTGGTGGGGAGGAAGAGTAGTAGTGACAAGAAAGGGAGACACAGAACATTTCATGCAGAGGGTATGGCATGTCCAAGACCTGGGGTCTAGAGAAAGCTGCCATACTTGAGGAACTGGAAGCAGCAGTTTGGTGTAACTAGCACTTCAGAGGATAGGGGAAGAGATAAGTGAGAAACAAGAATGGAGAGGTAGGACAGAGCCAGCTCATGAAGGAGGTTGTAAGCCATGTATAGGCTTTTGGACTCCATCCTGAGGCAATTGGGAGCCACTGATGTACGTTAAGCAAGGGATTGACATGATCAGATTTATTGTGTAGAAAGTTCATTTGCTCTGGCTACTGTGTAGAGAATGGATTGGAGGAGGAATGACCAGTCTGGAGGCTCTGGTAGTAATCTAGGTTAGAGATGGTGGTAATGAGACTTAGGTAGGTAATCGTGTAGCTAGAAGGAAATAGATTCCAGAGACATTTTGGAGGTGAAATCAGAGGTTGATGATTTAACTGGATGTGAGTAAAGAGGAAGAAGGAAGATTTCAAGATGCTGTTCAGCATTGAACAAGAGGATAAGATTAGTTGGTATACTTTGTTCCACTTTAACTGGCGATGTTAAGATGGTGAGAGATGGGGACTACAGTTAAAGCCAGGCACAGCAAGATCTTCCATCAAAACCTTATATAGATATTACCAGAACCAAAGAGAGATTTGGGGGAGATATCAGCAAATGAGATAGTTGAAATCATGAGGTTGAAAGAACTCTCCAAGGATGAAAGATGAATGTAGGGAGGAAAGTGCAAGTCAGGGGCAGGAGGACATGGATACATAATTGCCCTTTCTGACAGATCCCTCCCCCACACCCAACAACAACCTCAAGCAGGGAGCATGACTCCCTGGGGCTTATTAGAATAGTTAAAAGTGTGACCAGAGTTTCAGCATTCATTTTTTAGTTTTTATACCACAGAAGTTAATGTAGAAATTAGGGCTTGGGGCCAGGGTACAGATATGGATTGATAGAGAAAGTGAGAATTACATGTAAATATATTAATAGTAACTTGAAGGTTTCTAAAAGAAAGAATTAGGCAGTTCTGACATGATGAGGCTACCTTGCCCTGCCTCCCTTTCTGGTGGGTTACTGACCAGGAAGGAGGAAAGCCCTCCTGGTGGTACCTGTTTATGCTCCTAGGTTCTTATGCTGGTTCAAGGACAGCAGCGAGTGGGGGTGTAGGAGAGGGTCTCTGATTTTTTCACTCTCTTTGTTGCTCATTGGTATCTCTGCTCTGTCACAAGCAACCACTGTCATTCGTATACGAAAAGTCCGCTTTATGGGTGGTAAGAACTTTTGGTTGTTGTCCCTTTGCCTCTAGTCTTACACCTTTTCCCCCTTCTGTTCACTGCTTCATAGAAGAGACAGCAAATGCAATTTTAGGTTGAACGGTGCTGCCTGCAGAGCCAGGAGATAAAATTCCTGGGACTCGGAGCCTTTGAGGCTGAATCCTGGGCTTCCATTTCCTCTTTGAGTGTCCGCTGCACTGATTCACAGGGGCCAACTGCCCCAGACTGGATGTTCTGCCTTGACTTGAAGGAGCTTCACCCATGGCATAGAGTCCCCAGGACACTCCTCTTCCCTCCTCTGTTGCTTAGTGCTCTCCCCCATTTGCTTGCTTTTGCATAAAGGTTGTATGCCTGCACACAATTGGCTTTTATTATTCAGATTAATGCTTCAACTGTAAAGGAAGTGGATGAAGAGAACCTGTGGGTATGGCCAAGGCTCCAAACTCTCTAAGCAAGCTGTGAGTGATCTTTGTCCTAGATTTTCCAGAAGGCTCTGGAGATTCAGCTAGATGACTTTTCAAGTCCATAATAAGTGTTCCATTTTCTGCAGCATGATGATCCTTTCTCTGGCCATGTTTCCATGGTTTCCAAACTGACTATTCCTATTTGCATTCTTCCCTGAGAACTCCTTCTTTCAGTGTCTCAGCTGTGCTCTGGAGCCCTTCAGTTTGCCTCAGGATTCCGTTATACCATGGCTACTCGACTGCTCCTTCTGTCACCTTGGGCCCACTGTGGTTCTCCCTGTCTCTGTGTAGTTGTCATTAATCCCCTTATGCCATGTACACCTGCTCATCTCTGCATTTTAGCCTGTCTGAGGGATGGCCCAGCTACTAGGATTAGAAAAGCCTGGAAACCATTGTCCCTGTCTAGTCCTGGGTAGTCTCTCAGCATTAGCACCCACAGCTGTTTCTCCTCTTCTTCACCAGAGGCCAGTGACCTCACTTTGCACTTCTAAAAGCTAGGGCAAGAAGACTTACAGGCTTAATCTGGGAGTCTGGCTTAGTCTTTCTAGAGGAAGATTTGGGCCAGGCTCATGGAGAGTTGCTGAGCAGAACACTGTTGGGGAGAGGTGGCTGTAAGAAGGAGGCTGGGAATCACCCTTGTCTTAAGACATCAGATAGAGTTGCCTGTCCAGATCTTCTGCCTTGGGAAGGCTCAGGAACCATGGCCTCTACTGCCAGGACCTGACCCAGTCTCCCTCCTCACCACTAGAGCATGAGAAAGACCGGCTGTGTAAGAGTGCCGACTACATGAACCTGCACTTCAAGGTGAAGTGGCTCCACAATGAATACGTGCGGGATCTGCCTGCCCTCCAGGGGCAGGTGCCTGAGTACCCAGCGTGAGTCATCATGTGGGCACTACAGAGGGAAGGGAAGAGGGCCTTCTGGGTGGGTGGGGCTAGCATCCTCAATTCAGTTCAGCAAGCCAGTCTTGGGACTGCCTATTCTGGGCACTGCTGTAGAAAGAGAAGTGTCGAACTGTGTCGGGCCTTTCAAAAGATCCCAGTCTGATGGAGCTGTCAAGCACATGGCATATGCCAGTATTCCAATGCCTAGTTCTCTTGCTCTGGCTACAGGTGGTTTGAGCAGTTTGTGCTTCAATGGCTAGATGAGAATGAGGATGTGTCCCTGGAATTCCTGCGTGGGGCCCTGGAACGAGATAAGAAGGATGGGGTAAGTTGGGGGCTTGGGCTGCACAGGGGCCAGGCTAGGTCTCCTAGCAGTTAGCTTTTGGCAGAAGTTCCTGAGCATCAGCAAGGATGGCTGTCCTTGCCCTGTGCAGTTCATAGGAGAGCTGTTGAGGGCCACTGAGCCACCTCTGCTTCTGAACCCTAAAAGCCTGGGAAAAGGTAGCAGCTGCAGATGGTGACCCTATGTGTGGCCTTCCTTAGTTCCAGCAGACATCAGAGCACGCACTCTTTTCCTGCTCTGTGGTGGACGTCTTTACACAACTCAACCAGAGCTTTGAGATCATCCGGAAGCTGGAATGCCCAGACCCCAACATCCTTGCCCACTACATGAGGAGATTTACTAAGGTGACCATGACCCTCCCTCCTCCCTCTCCCTTACCACCACCACACTCATGCTAGTCATAGGCCTGAGCTCAAGCTGTCTCTACAGTGACCTTCAAGTAAAGCCTTGCATTAGCCATTCTCCTGTGTTTGTGTCTGGGGCAGACAGATAGGTCTGTCTCAGTGCTATTCTGTGGTTGAGAGGGAGCTTTGTCCCTTACTGTGAGATTTCCCCTTTACTTCCTTGTTCTGGGATGAGAAGTGCAACCTCAGGCAAGATCTCTGTAGGGAAAGCTAAGAGTTCCCTCTCCTTTTTTCCTCTTTTCTCAGACCATCGGAAAGGTACTGATGGAGTATGCAGACATCTTATCAAAGAACTTCCCAGCTTATTGCACAAAGGAGAAACTGGTAGGGTCAGGCCCTGGGACTCTTAGAGGAAGAGTGGAGGGCATTTGAATTCTTGCTTTTGAAGTTATCCTCAGAGTTGAGGGTCAGGGTGATGCTCCGACCTGATTCCCATCATGGCTTTCCTTGAGATCCATACCACCAAATAAGAACTTGACAGAGTTCCTGTGGGTCTCCATTTAATACATTATCCTCTGCTAAGCTGGACCTTTTCTTAGTCTTTTTTTAAAATAAAAATTAAGACATTATAAAGGATAATACCATGAATACCTGGGTACCCACCATCCAGCTTAAAAATGAAAACATTTGCTTCTAGTTTTCATTCTAGAATTGTGTGAAGTGACTCCAGATCTTAGTGCTTTAGGGAGAGACATATGTAATATGTGAAGTCCCTGTGGCTTTTGGAATAGTGTGAGCGAGGGAGGGACCCTAGGCTAATGGGTTCTATGCTAAAAGGAGCCAAGACTGAACAGCCCCATCTGTCCCCAAAGCCCTGCATCCTGATGAACAACATGCAGCAACTGAGGGTCCAGCTGGAGAAAATGTTTGAGGCCATGGGAGGCAAGGAGGTAGGTCTTAGGGTTTGGGGTAACTGTACTTTCCCTTTATACCTGAGCTCCCAGGCCGTAGCACTCCACCCTCTCGTTACTAGGTATTGGGCAGGACTTAGCTTGGGATCTGGCCTGGCTTAACCTGAGATAGGCATTGGGGTAAGGCTCTAGTAGGGAGGAGTTAGGGGCATGGGAGGGGAGAAGAGAGAGAGCAGCAGCCTAGCCAGGCTCACTTCCTATGGCTACAGCTGGACCCTGAAGCTGCAGACAGTCTGAAGGAGCTGCAGGTGAATCTGAATACAGTTCTGGACGAGCTCAGCGTGGTGTTTGGAAACAGGTCAGTGGCCCCAAAACACAGCCCTCAGAGCCAGGTATGGTCCCTGGCCAATCCCAGAGCCCCTGCCCCATACCCATCCCTCCAGCTGCAGGTGCTTGGATCTTCCCTCTACTCCTGCTGACTGTCTGTGCTGGAGCTGCACCATGAACAGACAGGAATGGGACCAAGTAGCTGGTGCTGTTCCAGGGACAGTGTGTGTTTGGGGAGGGGAGGGCTGTACTGTGTGCACATGTGTAGTTTCCAGGTGCGGATTGACGAGTGTGTTCGACAGATGGCTGACATCCTGGGCCAGGTCCGAGGCACGGGGAATGCGTCCCCCAACGCCCGGGCCTCAGTGGCTCAGGATGCAGATAGTGTGCTGCGGCCCCTCATGGACTTCCTGGATGGCAAGTGAGTACAGCACTCAGGATTGTCCTGTGGGCATGGGCAAAGCAGAGGCCATCAGACAGAGGAGCCTCTTGGGCAGGGGGGCTCTCACACTCTCGCCCTGGCCTCACCTATTGCCTGGGCTTGCAGCCTCACAATCTTTGCCACTGTATGTGAGAAGACAGTTCTAAAGCGTGTACTGAAGGAGCTCTGGCGGGTGGTAATGAACACAATGGAAAGGATGATTGTTCTGCCCCCTCTCACTGACCACACGGTAAGGACGCCTCCTTCCACTTCCTCCTCCTGTCTCCCTTATCCCTCACTCCTCACTTCCTCGTGGAGTTTGGGGTCCTCTGCTTTTTGACTGATCCCCTCTCTGCCCAGGGCACCCAGCTGATATTCACTGCTGCCAAGGAGCTGAGCCATCTTTCCAAACTCAAGGTACTCTGAGTGTCCTCCTGACAGGCATGGTGCTTCTGAGGCCAGGTAGAGGGAGTGTCTGGGAGGAAGGGAATGTAAGCTTTGGAGGTTGAAGAGGAAAAGAAGGAGAGGAATATGCAGTTGTTGGCTGTCAGGTAGTGGCACGACTTCCATGACTATCCTGAGCTATCCTGATGCTGCTGCTTTCTCTGGGGTTCCAGGACCACATGGTGCGAGAGGAAACACGGAATCTCACTCCAAAGCAGTGTGCTGTTCTTGACCTCGCCCTGGACACCATCAAGGTGAAGACCTCCCTCCTTTCCAGTCTTAACCACCATACCCACTTGGCCCCAGCATTCCACTCTGCCAGACTAGGTGTTCCTCGGGCTCTTACCCCTCCACATCCAGAAGAGAGGCACTGTGCACTGTCAAGGATACAGACAGAATCAGATATGGTTCCTAAGTTCAAGACACTTGTAATTCATTAATAAGGTGGTAATAAGCTGGGAACATATGAACTGTGATTCAAGGCACTTGGGAGAGGTATTTCATAGGTGTCACATTCTCTAAGGTTCACAGGAGTAAAAGAGCACTTTTGACTATTATCCCTGCCTGAAATGCTTCTATTCCATTTTTCTGCCTATCCAGATAGATCCATCCTTCAAACACCACCTCCAGGAATGTGGCCATCCCCTACCACTCCTGCCAAATTCCCAAATTCTCTTCACCTGAGAGCCCATGACTCTGTTTCTCTGGGTGTTCCTGAATGGCCTGTTTTTCGCACAGTCATCTCCTGGCTTCTCTGAGGGTAGTGTTGGGGAGCTGCCTCTCTGTAAGGGGATGAAGTAGTAGCAGGTGCTCTTTTATCTTCCAGCAATACTTCCATGCAGGAGGCAATGGGCTGAAGAAAACCTTCCTGGAGAAGAGCCCAGATCTGCAGTCCCTACGCTATGCCCTGTCTCTGTATACACAGACCACAGACACTCTTATCAAGACCTTTGTGCGCTCACAGACTGCCCAGGGTAAGGCCCTAAGGGCTCTGGGTCCCCACCTCCTCTCTCTGATACACATCTGCCCCTAGGGAGTCAGTATCTTTGTGCTCTTGGGGAAAGATCCAGTGACTTCTTCAGAGAGCCCTTCAAACTCAGCTCTTGGGATTTTTTGAGGAGACCTCAATACTTATCTCTACCTGATACCCATACCAGGCAGGAGAGTCACAGAGACATGGGAATTATGCCTGAGATTTCTTTTCCCAGACATTGCCTGGCCAGAACATGTTTATTGAGCTCAAGGGGTGTACCCTGTCAGGTAAGGGATGAAAAGAAGGAAAAATATTTGAGGAAGGCTTGAGAATGAGTGGGTGGAAGCTGTGAGAAACTCATGAAGGCTCATAGCTTTGGGAGCCTTGCTGGGAGTTGTCCTGGGAAAAGAGAGCGGAAGACTTTCCAGGCTCTCCAGTGTGGACAAGGAGATGAGGCAGAGGCAAAGCATGGGGGCAGCTGAAGGGAGGGTGTAGATCATGGTGCACAGCTGCCACTCTAGCCTCATGGGTGATGCTTATGCACAAGGAACCCAGGAAACTGGGTTTTTCCCAGTGACTTCCAGTCCTTACAGCCTCCTCCTGCCTCCAGCCAGCCTTGTCCAAAACAAAATACATCTGCATATATGTGGCTCAGACTGAAATTCTGACCTGACTCTGGAGCAGAGCCCTCCCAGGAGGCAGCTTCAGGCATGTTTGTTATCGCTTGTTCCAGAGAAACCTGAGCAGGCTGTCTGGGGAAGTGAACCTGGTGGAGAGGCAGTTGGAGGCTGATCTGGAGGGAAGAGGGGTCTAAGTAGTCAGACTGGAGGTGATGGGAGGTGAGAAAATGGGAGGGACCTGCAGTGCTTCTTCATTTCCCACATCCGCTCTCACTTCCAGTCCAGGTGAGAAGAAGAGAGCAAAAGAAGTAGCTGTGAGTCTTGCTCAGGGGGACAGGGAGATTTTTACAGAGCTGAGTAAATGTAAAGGCCTATACCATCAGGGCTGATGTGAGTTAATCCAGAAAGGCTTTTTAGAAGCATTAAACTATAAGGTAGGTAAGAGGTGAGGAGAGGCTGGCATGGGGGCATATGAGGTAAGAGCAGGGATGGAGACTGCAGCGAGAATCTGAGCATATGGGTATGTGTTTTCTACGCCTTTATCACTTAAGGCCCTAGGAAATCAGAGCCTACAACCTCTCTTGCCCCGCTGGTCTCAGATACCTTCTCTGTTTTCTACTGCTTTTGCCCATGATTTGCTCTCTGACCAACAAAGTCTAATTTGGAACCCTCAGGCACTGAGCCCAGCTTTTTGATTTCTTTCTTTACTCCGCCCCACTTCTGTGCTCCTTCAGAGTATATACAGAGCTGCTTTGAATGGTTGTTAACTCCTTAGACCTCTAACTGATTCTTCTTTCTCTGTCCTACTGCTGCCACTGCCTCTTGACTTGCCTGTCTTCATTCAGTGCATGATGGGAAAGGTATTAGGTTTACTGCTAATGAGGACATTCGGCCGGAAAAGGGTATGATATACGCCTTGTAGATATGGATCTAACATGGGCTAACACTGACTCCTGTGAGCTAGAACAGTGGTCCCCAACCTTTTTGGCACCAGGTACTAGTTTCATGGAAGACAATTTTCCCACAGACCAGGGCATGGGGGTATGTGGTGTGGTGGTGGGTGGAGCTCAGGCAGTGATATGCGACCCGTTTCCTAAAAGGCCACGGACCAGTACCAAGCTGCAGCCTGAGGGTGGGACCACAGAGCTAGGATGAGCAGCTTATGCTGGGAGTGGGGGAACCAGGTGTTAAAGTTCAGAAACTCTACCCCAAGTGTCAGTGATGTACTCAATAGCCCAGGAAGGGTTCTATTGTTGACCCCTGTCCTTTCCTCAGAGTTCCCCCACTCCTCCACCTCAGGACAAAGAAAGGTTTTATCTGGGGTGCACGGTACTGGTGTTTTCTCAAAATAGGGTGGGGCCTCTGCTGAGGGGAGAACTGCAGAGTTGTTCTGTGGAGGGGCCCAGGCTTGGGCAGGATGAAATCTTTCAGAGCAGGGCAGCATCCCAAGCAGTGACCTCCAGGAATCCTGGGGATAGGTGGGAGGTTGTTGCTTTTAGAGAGGACCCACATTCTTTCATTAAGAGACATGATAGGGTGGACGTGGTTCCAAGACACAGATACAAGATGACAGCACTGTCCTTCCCCAACATCTTTCAAAGAAAAATTCTTCAGTCTGGAAGATAGGAGAGGTTTGGGAATCCTGAGAGATTCCTAGTGCATTTTTGGAAGAAGTTGTATCTAAGATGCTGTCAGCTTAACTTGTGTTTTAAGAGACAGCCTCATCCTTGACCCTCCTTCTTTCCTTTCTCCCATTGCTTACTTCCCCATGGTTACTGTGGGTGATTGCTTCTTGCTTTTAGGTGTAGGGTGGTGGCCTCCTAACCCCTCAGTTTACCTGAAAAAATTGGTCCTAGAGTTCTCCAGTAGAGAATCATCTGTCCATCTATCTGTCCCCCAGGGTCTGGTGTGGATGATCCCGTGGGAGAAGTATCTATTCAGGTGGACTTGTTTACACACCCTGGTACTGGGGAGCACAAGGTCACAGTGAAAGGTGAGTGGTATGGACTCACAGGTCTGCCCACTTCTTGCCCAGTGGCCTCACTCATCAGTCAGAGGCAGAGGTTGTTCATCTCAGTCCTCCAGCTCAGCCCTCCTCCAAGGGGAATGTCACCTGGGGCTCAAGAACTGGAAATGCTTGGTGAGACCCCTCACAGATTTCCCTTATTTTGGCAGTGGTTGCTGCCAATGACCTCAAGTGGCAGACAGCAGGTATGTTCCGGCCTTTTGTGGAAGTGACCATGGTTGGCCCACACCAAAGTGATAAGAAGAGAAAGTTCACAACCAAGTCCAAAAGCAACAACTGGGCCCCCAAGTACAATGAGACATTCCACTTGTAAGTTATGAGGTGGGGAACCGATAGGACTCTGGGATGGGGGTGATCTAAGGTGTAAGACTTGAGGGGTTTGGGGAGAGGAGGGACAGGCTGGATGGCAGACTGAGGTTATATCAGCTGGAGACTCTCAGCTCCGGCCTCCTATCTTCTCTTCTGTCCTGTGCTCACAGCCTCCTGGGAAATGAAGAGGGCCCAGAGGCCTATGAGTTGCAGATATGCGTGAAGGATTACTGCTTTGCCCGGGAGGATCGCGTGCTCGGGCTGGCTGTGATGCCTCTGAGGGATGTGGCAGCTAAGGGTAGCTGTGCCTGCTGGTGCCCCTTGGGCCAGAAGATCCACATGGATGAGACAGGCATGACCATTCTCCGGATTCTGTCTCAGAGGAGCAATGACGAGGTGGCCCGAGAATTTGTGAAACTCAAATCAGAGTCTCGTTCCACAGAGGAGGGGAGCTGAACACCTTTGGCTCCTGTGCCAACCAGGCAGCACCACTTCCACAAATCAGGACCAGTGGGAGTTAGCTATGTAGCCAGCTTAGGGTCCTTATAGTCAAAAAGGTGACCCTTCAGTTAAAGATATTTAGGGACAAATTTGGGATGGTGAGAATATGGCTTTTATAGAAAGGGTCATGAATCTCTGACCAGCAGGTCTGTAGTGCCAGGGGCTAGGCTGTGGGGGTTACCACATGGAGAGATTTTCCATAAAGAGAGAAGGACAGACATTTCTGAGAATGTCAGCCATTCTTGGTAGACACCCCTCCACTCCACATCTCATCTCTACACCACGCTTTATGCAGTTAAACACATACACACCATCATTAGAAGAACAGGTAGAGGTCCTGGAGCTTGTTCCTGGCTGGCTAGGTAGTCAGTTGAGCCTATAGGTATTGCTGAGCCCTGTGGTCTGGACTGGAGTATGGGTCAGGGCAGGAGCACACAGAATAGAATTCAGACTGTCCCATGAGCGGAATCCACTGGTTTTATGTGGCTCCAATGAGAATAAGGCTTTGAAACTGAACAAGATACCTTCTAGAAATGAGCTGTGCTAATCCCTTTCCCCAGATTATATCATGAGTAGAAGCAGGTTTATGTGGTGCTTGAGAGCCCTGAGCAGAATATTTCTTTGGAACCCAGGCACCAGGGACCACCTACCCAGGAGTCCCCCTACCTCACTCCTGTAGGCAGGGGAGTGATGATTTCAGGACATGAGAGGCTGTACTTACGTGTATCTACCTGAGGGCTCATTGAAGGATCCAGGAGTATTTTCTTCTTGGGTAGGCCCTGAACAAAGCCAAAAATTGTAGAAACCAGTCTAGAATCCTCACCTATGGCCACGGCCTTCTGGCTGTTCTCCACCTTGCAGAAAGAATTTAGCTTTTGGCCTTTCTCCCTTTCATCTGGGTCAGCTGCTGTACCCCTCATAGATATTCAACCCTACAGAAGGAACTTGGACTCTGATACCTCTGTACAGGCTGGAGGGAGGAGGGGGCCTCAATACTCCCTGGGAGGTCAGAGACAGACTTTCAGGGGGGTCGGGTGGACTTACCTAGACCTTGCTCAGAGGTGTGAAATGGTCCTTGAATTTCCTCGGTAGCAGCCTCCTGGACATCCTGAGGATTTGGCATTGTCCACAGCTGTACTGACCATTATGTGAAACAAGAAACCAAGCATCTTTTCTGTTGTTAATTATTGTATGTGCCATTGTTAAAGGAAATTACATGCTAGTCTACAATAAATTATCTTATAGCAGCCTTTGGGGTTTGATAATTTTGCTCAAGTGTGGAAAGCCATAGAAATGACCATCCTATATAATGGTAGATTTTGGTCCAGTGCCTCTTTGCTGCTTCACACCCCCCTCCCCCCTTCTCCTCCCACCACATACCTGCTAGCCAAGGGGTAGAGCCTAAAATGATTCTGGATAAGCCCCAAGCAGTACAGCAACCATTGGGCCAGCATCTTGGCCTCGACCTGAGACTACCAATCTCATTACCAGGATCACAGGACCTAGGGTATCAGCTTCCTGCAAAAGGTCCAGAGGAGTAGGAGTTGATGTGTGCCGATGAAAACGAGTCCATGCTATCTCTTTCCTTTATCTAGAATTGCTAGGACAGACCACAGCCTGGGTTGTGAGGACAAGGCAGGGGACTACCAGGAAGAGGTATGCCTCCAGGGCTCGGCAGAGGGCTGAGGCTGCCATCAACTGGACTGGTTAGGCCTAGGAGTACACATTGGCCTTTCATTCAGGCTCTATTCAAAGAAGAACTGCAATAGAAAGCCTACTCCCAAAGAGGAGGAAATGAGGAAAAAGTGAGTCCTCCTGGCATGGAAATCGGAAAAGCTGAAGCAAGAAATTATTCACCTACTCAGCCTGGACTCTTAACTACTTGTGGGGTGAGGACTAGGGTGACCAGGCAGGGAACTAGCTCCATTCTTCCCCTTTGCTTGCTAAATAAATTCTTACAATTCAGTTTCCCAGTCATTTAAAAACTTCCTTTTTCTCCTCCCCACTCCTCTCCCAAACCAGTCACCTTCTGTCATTTCTGCCTCAAAATTACCTCTTGAATCCATTGTCTCACCTCAGTTCCCACTACCACAAGTGGAGCAGTGTCTTTTAGGTCCTCTTCTCTGGATTACTGTGATAATCCCCTGCCTCCATTCTTTCCCTGCCCTCTTCACACACTTTGGTAAGTCTCTCTCCTGTTAAAGCTATTCAGTGGCCACCCTTAGTTTCCATGCTGAAAATCCAAGACCCTCCAAAATAGCACAGCCACCCCACCCCACGCCGTGCACAAGTTCTAAAGCACTGCCCTTGCAGATCCCCCACATGCCCCGTGCACTCGTACCCCTCTGTGCCTTCGCACTCTCTGGTCCCCTTGCTGGAATGACTGGCAGCCCTTTCCATTGCCTTCTGGGCTCTGACATCTCCTGGAAGCCTTTAGGACCCAGCCAACCCTGGAAGCTTTCCCACAGCCCTCCACATTGTTATAATTTGTCTATCTCGCCTCATCTGCCTGTGACCAACCCAAAGGCAGGATCTGAGTATTTCATCTCCGTTTCCCCAACGGCCAGCACCAAGAGGGCGCTTGGGTATTTCAAAGCCAGGCCAGCATATACTGGCCGCCTTCTTCAGGAGACCGAGTGGGTACCGCGCTTGAGAAAGGGGGTGTGACCAGAGGCGGGCTCGTGGGAGGAGGGGCGTGGTCAGAGGCGGGGTTCTGCTCCTGGCCGGAACCTGGGGCTCCGCGGCGCCTGCGCAGAAAGGGGCGTTACGAAGGAGGTTGCTGGAGTCGACGGTTGTGCGGCAACGGTGAGCAAGAGGTGCCCAAAGGCGGCGCCCGAGGAGAGGTTATCACCTCTCTCCCAACATTCGTTGAAGAGAGACCATGCCCACATACTTACCTGGCATTCGTACCCTTCTCTGTAGTTCCCAGTAGCCGTCTATCCTAATACTTCTTGAGCACTGTTCTCCCAATACTCCACTCCCCATACTCGAGTATACAGGTTTCCCAAACACTCTGAGAGAAGATATTTGCCCAAATACCTAACAAAAGGGGTCTTTATCCCCTAAATAACCCTAAAGGGCACACATTTATCCAGTATTTCATGAAGCAGATGCCCCCAAATCCCCTGCTGTGGCACATTCCTACTGACTCAGGGAGTTTTCCACTTTTCCAGCACTATCCATATTCTCTGAGAGTTCATAAACCTCGTCCCGTACTTGAAAGTGGCACTTGTGCTGTCTTTCCCCTCCCTCTTACGGAATAGGATACTCCACAGGAAAAAGTCAAACGCTGGCTGGCCACCCATGGTTTGCAACAGGCTTGCAGATTGGATTAGCAGCTTTTTAAAACTCGATTTCACATTTTTAAAATGCAGATTTCCAGCTTTTTTGAAAAATTGGAAGACCTGTTAACTCTTAGTTCACATTCCCGCAAAGCAACTGGTGGTGATAGCTGAGAAGCAGCAGTTAATTAAATTAGTTAACTGCAGTTCATCACAGACTCTCATATTTTTGTGCCAGGCTTTACATTACTTGCCTGGCATCTGGTAGGCATTTGAGTTTGGGTCATTTTCTTAGCCAATACTTTGAGCTCTTTGTGGGAACTGAAATCCATAGTTTGGATGTACGTTTAGGTTAGCTTTAGCTCCTATAATACTCTGATTTGGATCAGAGATCATCCTAATAGCTAGAACCAAGGGTGAAATCTGTACTAAAGTGGTTTTGGTAAGAGAATTTAAGCAAAATATCTGTAGGTAGTCCCCTCGTACATTTGATCTTGAAGAAATCCAGTGTGCCAAATAGTCTCTGGTGGGGCCAGGCCAAAGTCAAGGTATTATTTTTTTCTCTCATGAACACATGATTATAAAAGGGCCTGCCTCTGGTCTCTACAGAAAGTGATATCTCAGAAGTACTGCCTCCTTCACCCCAGAGCACACATACAGTAACCCTCCTCTCAGAAATAAGAGGGCTGATAGTATCAAGAGTAGGGGTAATTCTGCAGGCTATGTCTAATCAGAATTAGAACAGAAGTGCCTATAACAGTGGATTTTTAGGGAAGAAAAACCACATCTTTCCGCGTAAGTGTGTAACCCACCTATTCATTGTGAATATTCAGGCTAACTCCCTGAAGGATCCTCCCATACCCAGAAGCAGAAAGGCAAAACTGAAGAAGCAACATAGAATAATGGAGATAGTATTGAAGTAGGTGTCAGAAGACATTAAAACTGATCTCAGCCCTGCTACATTTTAGACAGGAGACCCTGACTTTTAACTTCTAAGAGGCTCAATTTCCTGCATCTGTTATCTAGGACTAATAATTCCTGCCATGTCGACCTCAAAGGGATCAAATGGGCTCATATATGTAAAAGCACTTTGAAAACTATACTTTTGTTCTATGTGTATAGGGATTATTATTATAAGTGATCCTCTGAGTTCTGATTAACTTCCAAGGAATTTGTCTTGCTGGGTCCCAGGTTCAAATTCAACAGATACTTATTGAGCACTTACTGTTGTGCCAGGTATTCATCTAAGCATGGGGCCTAGCATTGAACAAAAAGAGACAGCCCCTTATAAATTTGGGAGTGAGTCATCAGCATATTAAGTGCCTACTGAGTGCCCAGTGCAGTGTCAAAGCTTGGTGATGTGGTAAGAAGAATGTAGATTCTAGACTTTATCACTGTATAGCTGTGTGAGAAAGACTTTTCCCTGTGTGAGCCTGAAAAAAAAAAAGAGATAAAAAGAAAAAGAAACACCCCGATTGGAAGATTAGAAGAAGTAGTGAAAGTAGTGAATAAATGGTCTCTTTTTTTTTCTTCTTTGAGACAGAGTCTCACTCTGTGGCCTGGACTAGAGTACAGTGGTGTCATCATAGCTCATTCACTGCAACCTCAAACTCCTAGGCTTTAAGCAATCCTCCTGTCTCAGCCTCCTGGGTAGCAGCTGGGACAGTAGGCACATGCCACGCCCTGCTAATTTTTTCTATTTTTTTTTCTCCTACCACCCCTCCTCTGTTTTTCTATTTTTAGTAGAGACAGGGTCTCACTCTTGCTCAGGCTGGTCTCAAACTCCTGACCTTAAGTGATCCTCCCGCCTTAGCCTTGCAGAGGATTACAGGTGTGAACCACTGCACCCAGCCTAAATGCTTTCTTTACAGATATATTTTAAAATTATTAATTCAAGTTCAAAAAAGTCCATTGATTGTGATTGTGTTACATTTGTAGATTAACCTGGGGGATAATTTATATCTTTGCAATATAGAGTCTCCATATCCAGGAAAATATCCAGGATATTTCTCTCTATTCAGATCTTATTTGGTGGACCTCTGTAAAATTTTGTAGCTTTTTCATATAGATCTGTACATCTATTGTTAGGTTTATTTTTAGATATTTTAAATTTTCTTGCTATTTAGATGGTACTTTTTCCAATTTTTTCTAACTGGTTATTTTAAGTATCTAGAAAGGCTATTTAATATAAATTTATTTTGTAACTCGGTACCTTACTGAAATATTTTTAATAATTTCTGGAGTGATGGAATAATTCTGAGACTAGAGGGGTAGTAGAAATTATCTTGTCTAACCTTCCCATGTACAAATGAGAAGACTGAGTCTCAGAGTAGTCTTAACAGGATCAAGTTGAAATCGTAGATTTCATGAATCTTTATTCATTGAGTTTTACAAAATATGGTAATGTAAAGAGGTGAGAGAGCAAGACTGCCAAGGCAGGGGCTGTCAAATTTGTGTCTTGATCTGGTCATCACCAATCCCAGGTTTACAAATTCAGAAATTTCATTTACAATTTGTTCTAGGAGTGACCAGGTCCCAGGAGATGTATTCACTCTTCTCTTTGTGAGAATTATTATTTACCAAAAAGAAAGAGAATCTAGAGGTTTACCACGGGGCATCTAATAATGTCCAGGGCATTGTCTCCTAGTGGCCAATTCCATCCAGGAGACCAAATTAGAAATCCTGGAATTATGGCAAAGAGAATGGATGTTCTTACATGGTATTTACATTAAGATATGGTATTCTGATAGTTGGATAAAATATTCTTCTGTGTTCTAGTGATATTTCTTTCCAGAAAGTTCTGATAGGCATTATAATCAGAGAATCTTTTCCCCAGGCCACGGTTGAGACAGTGATAAATGTTTATTTTCATTATTTTCTGTTTAAAAACTGTCATTCCTTCACCTCATAACCAATTGGTTAGTTTTAAACAGTAGAGCTTCTCTTAGATTAGTTATATTTTAACTTCA